TATGCATTTTAGTTGGCTGTACATGTTTACAGTACACAGCAGTTTTTCATTCTGTACTAAAGGGACACTATAGTCACCCAGATCATTTCCTCTCAATTAAGTGGCCTGGGTGCAGTTTCCATGTCTCCTTAACTCTGTACTGTAAAACATTGCAGGTTTTGAGAAATGGCAGTGTTTACATTGCAGGGTTAACTCCTGCTCTAGTGGCTGTCAGAGACACTTCTGCAGCACAGACCGATTAAAACTCAGTTGTGGTGCATAAGCCTCAGAGGAATGCACTGATTCACTGCATATGCGCTTTAGGTCACCAGTATTTCTCTATGAGAAGCATTGGATTAAAACCTCACAAACGAGGTATGGCCTCCTCGATGATGATGGTGTAGGAGGAGAGGTTAGAAATGCAGAGTGTGCATTGCCGTTGGAAACAGGTAAATAAAACTTTTTTTGTTTTAAAGCATTTTTTCTGGTCTGTGAATCACTCTTCAAATTTGAAACATTTAGATTAGTCATTTCTCCTTCAATTTCTTCTTGTGCATTACGCTGATCAGCCACAACATTAAAACCACTTGCCTAATATCGTGTAGGTACCCTTCGTGCTGCCAAAACAGCTTTGATGTCTCGCTGCATCGGCTCCACAAGACCTCTGAACGTGTCCTTGTGGTATTTGGCACCAAGACATTCACAGCATATCCTTTAAATCAAATAAGTAGCAAGGTGAAGCCTCTATAGATCAGATCTGATGTTTCAGCACATCACTCGGATGCTCAATTGGATTCAGATCTGGGGAATTTGGAGGCTTGTCATGTTCCTCAAACCATTCCTAAAAACCGTTATCATAAGACTGATTCCACTGGCTTGCCTTCTTCTCAAAGTGCATCTTGCTGCTATCTCTTCACCAGGTAAACAATATACACACACTTGGCCATCCACCTGAGCTAAAACATGATTTATAACACCAGACAACCTACTTCCATTGCCCCGTGGTCCAGTTCTGACGCTCACGTCATCATGGGCACTCTGACCGGTCTGCTACGCAGCCCCATATACAGCAAACTGCGATGCACTGTGTGTTCTCATATCTTTCTATAATGACCAGCATTCAAGTTTTCAGCAATTTGAGCTACGGTAGTTTAATTGGACCAGACATGCCAGCCTTCCATCCCCATGTGCATCAATGAGCATTGGATGCCTATAGTTGTCCTTCCTTGCACCACTTTTGGTAGGTGCTAAACACTGCATACCTATCATGGTGCCGCGGGTTTCTGTCGGCGTGACTGCACTGAAAAACAGCGATCACGCCAACAGAAATAAAGAACACTCATTTTACACGCGACAGATCAAGTCCTTTAATCTCGGTTCCCGGCATGTGCGGCGTTAACAGAGACGCCGGCCGCTGCGGTTCCAATTTTAATAAAGAAATACCCTTTGCCCATATCAAAGATGGCACTTACGTATGTGCGACGTCACGTGATAGACGTGCACGCACGTTTTGGGGTCAGAGGTCACATATAGCAAATTACAGCTCTAGGAGGGTTATTTAAACCCAAATTACCTTTTGATCAGTGCCCTGTCGTGGTTTCCCTTAGCTGGTTATCCGAGAGAGTGTTCCTGATCGTTGTATTTCTGGTATTTTGACTTCCCTGATTTCTGGTATCCCTGACTTTTGGCTTTCCCTCATCGTTGTGTCACGATCTGTTTCCCTGACCATGGCAAGTATTCTGACTATTCTTGAATATGATAAGTCCGGCCATTCTAAGGTCCAGTTATACGTTATCCTTAGTCCTAGGTGTGATATTATTCTGCGTGCTGGATCACTTAGTAATCCTGATAATACTGGGAACTCCCCACAAGACTTGCCATTTTGGAGATGCTGTGACACAGTTGTCTAGCCATCACTATTTGGCTCTTCTGAAGGTCAATGAGATCTTTTCGCTTGTCCATTTTTCCTGCTTCCAATACATGAAATTGACGAACTGACTTGCTGCCTAACATATTCCACCCCTTGACAGGTGCCATTGTAATTAACTAATCAATTTTATTCTCTTCATCTGTCAGTAGTGTTACTGTTATGGCTCATCAGTGTATTTGAACTGTGGTGCATGTACCTCCTCATGTTTTACTTGATGGACTGGTTCTCCTATTCTGTACATATTATTTATTTTTGTGTAATATTTTACTTGGCAGGGTATTATTTACTTTTTTCCTTTGCTTTGGTGGTTCACTTTTGTTTTTCACTGCCCATGTTTATGATTTGCTTTCTGTTTTTACATCTTTGTGTGAAAACTACAATAGAATATCTATGGGAAAAATAAATTTTGGTTAAGTTATATAGAACTTGTCTCTTTATCTCCTGGAGGTTGGAATCTTTATGTTCTGAATTCTGATTACATACTTGCCAACAGTCTCAAATTTAGCAGGCCTATCTCACATAACATACTAGAGAACAGTGTTCTGATTGCACTGTAGGGGCATTTTAAAATATCATCACATTGTGCTTCACATTTCCAGGCCTTATTTGCCCTGGCTTGCTGCCATGTTGTGCTTCCTGTCAATTTAGCAAATATGCAGTCATGCCTGTTTTGCTACTGACAGCCAGTAAATGGTTTCATACTGTGACTCTCACTTTTAATGTACGATCAATAGAAGTCTAGCTAGCTTTCCTGCTCAGATTTCACCTAGAACGGATGACTGCCCATAAATTGCATCTTTGAACACTGCTGCTGATTGGCCAAGGTGGTGGCCTGTACGTTTTACATTGTTCAGACAAGATAATTTTATATTTTTAATCTATTAAGTGAGAAAGGTTAAAATGTATCTCCATAATTATCACAATTTCAATTATTGTTTGAACATTATGACAAACTGGACTAAAACAACAGACCCTTAAAATGGAATACATGTTACACAAAGAACATCTATGTTAATAATGTGACATAATATTCAATATAGGGTTTTGTTTATCTCTTTTTACCCATTTTATATCTAGCATTTGGTGCCGACACTTCTTGTTTGTTTTGTGACAGTACTGCAGTATATTTAGAGCTAGAATGACTTTAAACTAAATATATATAAAATATAATAATATATTATATATAATTTTATTTTTTTCAGTACACGTAATTAATTTGTCCCTTTATCCTCCATGTTTTATTGTAACTCGTATTCCATTACGTATTCATCATGTGAGAAATATATTAAATATTTAAAATATGATTATGATTTTTTTTTCATTAGCTTTAAAGTCTGCACTGTTTTTCATTAAAAGCTTAATGTAATAGTATAAAGGTTTTGGCTCTGATGTTCTTTCTTAGAATCTTGTCAAATATCAATCATTTCTCACTAAAGCAAAAGGCAGCCGACCTTAAAGTTAAATTGCCTATCTAACCATGCTCCACTCCCCTTCATTCCACTCTCTATAGTTCCTTATATGCTTCAATTAACTGTAATTTGTCTCAATTTGGATAGCACCTGGTTGTAAAATGTTAGAATTCCCCTTATACCGATGGTAGCTAAATTTACCACTGCAGATATGTGTATATTTGGCTGTGCATTATGGGAAATGGACATGACAAGCACACTGCCTCTTTTTTGCCACTAGTGCATTTAGCCTTCTCCTTTATCCCCATTATACGTCATGGACTTTATTTATTTTTTAATTAAAAAATTATGTTTATTGGTACAAGATTATGAAATACAGTGACATGAGTCAAAACTAAAGGTACATATTTTGTACATGGAATATCTCCTGAGAAGTTGTTGTAAAAGAAATCAAACAGTATGAGACAAATTGGCACACGTTGATTATGGCAAGGTGGTATAATACAATAAAGGGTGGTAAAGAACCAATTTAATTGTCCAGTGGGACGTTTGCTCATAGACAGGCAGATATTGCTAATAAAACATGTCCACTGATAAGTGTATCATTTTGGGCAGAAAATGCAAATAAGAGAAAAAGAAAGAGAGAGGAACCCACCATGGTAATATTCAGGTTCATCTGAGGGAGAAAGGATGCGGTCCAGGTTTTTAGGCGTGGTGACATTGACTTTAAATAAAAAACACCTTTACTAAATTCATATGGTGACTGTGGTATTTATACTATTTTTTGTTAGTGCATCTCTGTGATGTTTAATGTCACAATAAGGTAATTCGTGGAAATATAATAACAGACTGTGATTTAATGATATGGTTGCAACAGGAGAACTGATAGACAAAATATTATGTTCTGAAATATGTAGAGTAAATACCAAATCTGTGCATTATTCTGAGGCTAAAATAAAACAATGGTGGCTGTTGAAATGTTCAAAATCAAGATTCTGCTGTACAGTAATGTGGCAATATGATCTCTCACAGGGTCAAGTGGTATAGGCATTTGCTTAAACTAATTTACGTGGAGCCATGCCAAAAAAGTTGTCATTGATACATCAATTTTAGCTTCTTTTTGAGTTTTTTTTTTCAGGGCTTCTGTAAGAATATATAATTACTACACCACCAGTGCATCTAAAAAAAATACCTCAAATTAGTTTTATTTGACCTAGCTTTGGGAACACCTCATATGTCTAGAATTCCAGTAATAATTTAGCAGATGTTTTAAAGCTTAAAGTGATATATTGCAAACTGTAGCATAGCTGATTTGTGGAAAGTTATAGGGCCAAGATTTTTTTTTACATGCCCTAATTTTGACATGGCTCAATCTTGTGTACAAAACATTTACTGCACGTCAGAACCATCAGCACATGACTGGCAGATTTTAAAAAATTGTTAAAAACTAAATCTATATATCTTTTCTACCCTTAAATAACACTTCAATTAAACAAATTCAAGTATTTTTTTTCTAAAATACAGGCTATAAGAGGGGGGTGGAGCCGATGCTGAAGGATACAGCCGCGTGAGTGCTGAGCTCTGTGTCGGTGGATCAAAATAAGAGTAATCACCCAGTGCAAACTTACTTTTCCGAGCCCAACTGGGTCCGGCATTCTGTCCCACCAAAAAGGCAAGAGACAATGAGACAAATCCTCCTACAAAGGCAAGACAAGTTTGAAAGTACACTTACCCCTCGATCCTACATAAAATGCTGGACACACAATCTGCACAACTTATTGCTAAGTTTCAGTCCTCCATTAAAGAAGTGCAGCAAGAACTCCAAGATTGGAGGCCGCCTGGCCCACCTCGAGTCCAAAATGGACGACAAAGCAACAGCGCACAACTCCTTGGCTGACTCGCTGCAACAAATAGAAGAGAAACTGACCAAACATGAGATGAAACTTACCGACTTAGAGGACCGCTCGCGCAGGAACAATCCGCGACTACACGGTATACCAGAGTCCATAGCTATGGGGGATATGGTAATGTATGCTACCACCATGTTCCGCGCACTCTGTCCGGACATCCCCTCAGAGATGTTTCTGCTGGAAAGGATGCACAGAGTGGCAAAGGCCAGGACTTCACTGGCCGTGGCGCCTAGAGACGTGCTGCTCAGGGCCTACTACCACCAAATGAAAGAGATGATTTTCAAAGCCAGCAGGACCGCAAAAGACCTGCCTGCTGAATATGCATCCATCCAGACACTGTCCCAGAGATGCAGCCTTGGCCCCATTACAGTCGCTCTGTGCAACAAACAAGTGCCCTACAGGTGGGGCTTCCATTCAAGACTACTGGTGGTTCATAACAGACAAACTACCTCCATCCAGTCCCTGGAAGAGGGCTTTGACCTACTACGCAAATGGGATGTTCAATTCGAAAACACGTCACAGAACACCAATGCTCCACAATCTCTTGCTCCCGAATGGAAGCGTATAAAGAAGTAATGGTCATGCCGCTCCTCACCTAGGTGTTGGATACTGTTGGTCTCACACTTTTGCCCGCTGACAAAGAGATCACGACCATGCTGACTTCACAAAACTACCTGATTGAATCCCACGACCCCTCTCCCCTGCGGCTTTCGAGCATGACACCAGCTCGGATCTGTCCAGACCCTGGGTGGGCTGCCTGGGAAGAGGCCTCAACAAGTCTTCTAGAAGATGTTGATTTGGGGATAAACAGAACGCAACATCTATATCTAACATTGTGACAGTGCTATTTTCCATTCTCTCTTATTCAAAAGGAACTCTGAATGTCCCAAACTACCCCTGCATGTGCAAGGTCAGGGACTCTCGCCCGTGACCACAAAATTTACAGACCCAGGTCCGTGCACAAAGTGGGCTCGCTCCCCCTCTGGTGTAGAGAAGGAACCTCTATGTGAGCATACCTTATTGTGCTATAAAAAAAGATTGATTGCCCCCTCCTCTATCAGCAACGAGTTTGCCGCATATTATGGTGAACTCTTCAATCTATCCAAAGATGGAAATCTTAATCATGCCTCCATTGCCGAATCCACTGAGTATCTAGCCTCCATAGAGACTACCACACTTTCACAATCCTAAAGGGAAGAACTAGAGGCCCCCCTTACGACTGTAGAACTTACCTCCGCAATTAATAGTTTTCCCCCTAACAAATCCTCAGGCCCTGATGGCCTCACCAATGCCTACGATAAATCACTCAAAACAACGCTTACCCCATGCTTTCTTTGACTCTTTAACAAGGCAATTAGCCAGTCTGAATTGCCCCAGTGGTGAACCTCTCCAAACCAGGGAAGCCTCCCATGTGCTGCAAGAATTTCAGGCTCATCTCATTACTCAATTCGGATGCCAAATTATTTGCCAAAATTCTTGCAAACCATATGAAAGCGATACTTCCGTTATTAATTTATCCAGACCAAACAGGATTTGTAAAAGGCAGACAGGGAATTGATAACAAGAGGAGAGTGTTAGATATTGTATACTCGATGACCAGAAATAAGACAGGAGGAGTCATGAAATCTCTCAACGCAGAGGAGGCCTTTGACCGCCTCAGCTGGAATTTCCTGGAGGTGGTCATAAGGAAATTGAATTTCCCAGAGAGGTTTCTCTTGGTGGTGAAAGCCCTTTATAGCATGCTGAAATCGAAAGAAGCCTACGACGGGTTCCAGTCAAACCCCTTTAATATTACTAACGGAAGAAGGCATGAGTGCCCACTCTCACTCCTTCTGTATGTACTGGCCTTAGAACCCCTCGCCATTTTAATCAGGAAAAGCGCAAATATTCATGGGGTCCAGATAGGCACTACCACACACAAGATGAGCATTTTTGCGGATGATGTCATCCTTACATTAATAAACCCTCAAGACCAAAACTCAAGCAGTGCCTATACATTTGCAAACAGAGACCGTACGAGCCCTAAAACAACAGTTCCCGTTTAACTGGAGAGAGGATTACCTGGTTTACTTGGGAATTAGAAGTACAAAAAATCTTAAGGCGGATTATATTAAACTGGCAGGGGAGCTTCGTTACACCATTAATGTGGCAAATATATGTCCTGGATGCGTTGCATCGCCGCTACTAAAATGATGCTACTCCCGAAACTGCAATTCCTGTTTAGATCTCTCGCCATCACAATTCTGCCCTCATGTTTGTCAGCCCAACAGAAGGAAATAAACAGATTCAGCACAAGCAAACAAAGATCCCGCATCCCCAAACATACTTCAATGAGAAAGATCTCCGAAGGCGGGGTGTACTATCATACCGCAATGATAGGGCAAGCAATATGCTCCCATGATAAACAGAATGCCCCTCAATGGGTCCATGTAGAATCACAATGGACGATAGAGGAGGGAATTCAATCACAACTTTGGCTGCCGAAGGCATCCAGGCCACTCACACCACATATGTTGGCCACCACAATAGCTATGCTCCACTCATGGGACAAACATAAGGACAAATTCTACACATGGTCTCCAATATCTTTGGCTTTTAAGCATCTAAATTCCCACATTCAACAGCAAGGGGTGGGAGGGCAGGGGACTAATAAACCTGCACCAGATATGAATGGGAAACAGTCTTACACCATTTCCACAACTTAAATCTGATCATGACACACCTTCTTCCATGTTTCTCTCATACCTCCAATTGCAATCTACACTACACAGCCTCAAGCAGGTGCACTCTCCCACAGCCCTGAATACAGGCATATCCTTATTGAAAGAATTGTGTGCTAGCATGGTACCAAAAAAGAAACTGATGTCTGTATGTTACGGCACCCTGACATTTGACACAATCAACCCACTACCAAGCTATACTAGAGAATGGGAAAAATATGTAGGCCATACCTTCTCTCTGGAAAAATGTGCCTCGGCATTCAAAATCCATAAACAGAACACATACTGTATCTCTCATCTTGAACTAATCAAGAAGATTGAAAAGGTAATGCATTCAGCATTTGCCCTTTCATTTAGTATATAATTCATATGTAGGACTTTCATTTATGTTATAGTAAACGAATACGAAAAAGTCAGAGAATTCGGACGAAATCATATTCGTCCGATAACGAACGCACATGTCTAGTCACCAATGTAATGTATGGCTTCCATGTTAACGTCCCTCATTTAGTACTTTGGGCGACTTTGGTACAGACTACTTGGATAAATGCCCACTATGATTCTGTTTCTCTTTCTACACGGGCTGTAGTGGTGATGATGCTTGGAGTAACCGTTTAAATACAAGGGATATACATACTATATTAAGATTTCAACTGAAAGCAACTCTGTGCTGGCATGCAGCTGTTTATGCCTTTGGTTTCATTCCTGCGCCTTTGTCGTCTGAAGAAAATGTCATTGTAATGAATGCACTAATAATGAATGTCTGTATTTCATGCTAAGAGGCTTCTTGTTGCTGAGCAGAACAATTACAGCTCTTGCAGGATATTCATAACTCCTGGATCATCCCTGAACATGCTATATGATATATTGATGGTGTACTAGAGTTTTGCCACATCTATAGATCATACTACATCAATGGCTGGCATTATGGTCTTGGAAAATACCCTTTCTACCTGATTTCCTTAGTGTTACTGTGTGGAAATTATTCTGTACATTCCTTCCTGGTTTATAGTTACATTTTATAAATTTGCCAGTTTAAAGGACCACTAAAGTCACCCAGAGATTCTTTGAGATGAAGTGGTCTGTGTGCAGTAGTCCTGTATTTTTAACCATTCAAGGTAAAACATTACCGTTTTACAGAAACAGAAAGGTTTACCTTGAAGGATAGATATGCCTCTAGTGGCTCTAATGACAGCCACTAGAGGCACTTCCGCTGTAACAACTAGGGCTCCATACCTTGTTGTTATATTATTATTTTACAATGATTGCACTGATGTTCAAGTCATTTAACATCCAGTCCCTGCTGCTGGGCTTTAATTCTGGCCGTGATAATAACTCTTTTTTTTTTTTTAAATGACGAAACATACCAGAATGTAATCTTTGGATCATCTGCCTAACATTTAACAAAAAGCAGACCTAAATTGTACATTTGACAAAAGTAAAAGAAAATAAATATGCAAAACACTTTTAAAAAAAAAGCATTTTGTTGCATAGCCACAGTACTTCGATTCTTTCACTTCTCTTTTTGTTTCTAGAAGCATGGATGGAGGGTAATAGTAGAAACATATTGAGTGCAAACCACAGCTATAATAATGCACCTGTTAAACCAATAAACTTTTATTTCCCTTTTGTAAACGTCACCAATCTATGATAAGATAAAAGATGGGAAAAGTGATTATAAGTCACAGGGCCTTTTATACCAGGCTTTGATAGTCTTTCAAAGAGTCATTGTTGCAGATGCGAGTTTGCCAATTGCACATTTATGTAATTGCATAGTATATCACATGATTCTAAACTGAATGATCATTAATCTCCATCTCCATTTCCATAAACAACAATGCATGCCTTAGCTTGTGGTTTCAGTATTGAAGCTTTTCAAGCTTCCGAAGGCTGCATACTTTTGTAAGCTGTTTTTTTTTTCATATACCCACAAAGTAAACTTGCAGACAAAATATATGCATGTTTTATTTGGGGTTATTTCTATAAAATTGCAAAAAAGTATTATATTTTCAGTGGAGTGTCTCTTTAAATGTCCTGTATCGATACTTTCATAGCAAAGGCTCAAATACATTTGATAACATAATTGTGAATTATCAGGATTTAAAAATAAAAAAATTAAACCCTAAACTATAACTTTTATAGCAGTTACATTATCCAGAGCCACTGCAAAAAATGATATATTTGTAGAAATCAGACCCCCAGGGTATTAAACAATGAGAATTCTGATATTTTCTTTTAACAATTTTTTCACCAACCTCTGCCATATCTGCTGGATATACTTTTGTGGGGGTTTTTTCCGCATGTTTCATGTTCTTTTTAATAGGGATTTTCACAAATTCTGTGTGACATACTCCTGAAAGCTCCAGTGAGCTAAACTACCAGGAAGTAACATGACTGCTTGTCTGATTGACTGACTAGCTTGTGTTAGTAACCTCTGTACAGTGAGTTTGAAAGAGCACGTAAATAATGCAATCTTTTCTCAGTTCCTGTTTTTGTAGCCATCAGCCATTTGATTTATTTTGGTGATACCTGTAAAATGTATCAGGAGTTAATTTAAATGCTACAAATTAGGTTAATTCTCAGCTCTCTGGAAATTAAAACTACAAAAAAAGCACTACAAAATTAACTATAATTTGTGTTAATAAAAAAAAAACTATGTTGACTGCCACATCTGATATTAAAAGACACTTCAATTTTAAATTTTGCTCCTTATTTTTCTTTTAGTCAGCAGATTGTAAATTTAATAAATTTCAACAAAACTAAACACACATAATTCCTCCACTTGTTTTAGCTGAAATGGCTGCGACTAATTTACTAATTAATTTCTCAGTACCCAATGCTCAAATCTTTAATCTTCTGTACTAAATGAATACATTCACTTCTTCAAATAGCTTTGAAATGCACCCAAAGCTGCTGTTTCAGTAGCAGAATACAATACAGGGCAGAAACCCTGACTGTCTATCCAAACTCAGGACAGTTGGCAAGTATTCTCTCTCCTTTTCAGTGATTATTAAAAGTATATACTGAACAAGATGATCCTTGTGATGGAAGCTCCCGTACCATAGCCTTCTGGAAAGGTGTAAAAGCTAGTCTCCTGCCCACAGACTATGGGCCTGGTCCCAAGTGCCCCTTATCTGGGCTGTTGTCCGTGTGGGTGAGGGGCTCCAGTCACTTGTTGTATTTGTTAAAGAATCTCCAGGCTAGACGAGCCATCTGGTGGAATGTGATCCAGCTATACCCGTGGCTGGTCAGTCTATGGCGGGTGAGGACTACAATGGCCCTGGCCTATTGTGGGAGTCCTTTGATGACAACAGTAATAAAATTACAAAACTATATGAAAACATTTTTCTCCTAATTTGATAATAAATTATACTTCCTAAAATTAGCACAAATTAGCACAAATTAAAGTGTCATGTTGTGGGATTCAAAAATGTTAGTAACCAGTTCTGACTTTTCACATGTTTCCAACTCCACAGGACCGGCCCAAAACAATGTGCTGTCTGGGTTCAAGACACCCTTCTCCCCTCGTCAAGCATGCACACACAAGCATATCGACACAGTCACACATATATTTCCTGGGGGGCAAAGGGAATTCTATTAATGCATTAAATGCATCAACCTTGTATATCTTGCCAATGAGCAGAATATACAAAAATTAGGAAAACCATGCAATGAGCAATAAATACATAAACTCGATATACCATGCCAATGGAAAGTAAATGCATAAAGTTGGTATAACATACTAATGAAGCAATAAATACATAAACTAGGCATATCATGCCTAAGAGCAATAAATTCATAACATTTGTATATCATGCCAATGAGCCATATGTGCCCCCAAACAGCCTGTCAATGCCATTCTGCCCTTAGCCTCTCTGTGCCATCTCTCTGCCATCAGCCTCTCACTGCCACTTGCCTATCTGCCCTTAGCCTGTGTGTGCCATCTCTGCCTCCAGTGAGTGTGACAGTGTGTGTGGAAGGGTGACAATGTGTAGTGATAGTGACAGTGTGTGTGGGATCGTAACAGTGTGTAGGGTGATAGTGTGGGAGGTTGACATCCCCCATTCCATTCATATCTCTCTCTCCCTCCCCTCTATGTCCCATTACCCCTTTTATCAAAGTCACCATCCCCCTGCCCTATATGTCCTTCTACCTCCTCCATCAATGTCTCCAGAACTTCATGTCTCCCTTCCCCTCCCCTCCATGTACCAATTTTATCCATGTCCCTGTCCTCTCTATGTCCCCCTCCTCTCCATATCACTTTACCAATTGTATCCATGTCCCCCTCCTTTCCATGTCCCCCTCCCCTCCATGTCCTCTTCCAGTTCCATTAATGTCCCCCTCCTCTCCATGACCCCCTTTCCTCCATGTCCGCCTTACCAATTCCATCCATGTCCCCCTCCTTTCCATGTCTCCCTCCCTTCCATGTCCTCTTCCACTCCATGTCCCCCTCCTCTCCATGTCCCCTTCCACTCCATGTCCCCCTCCTCTCCATGTCCCCTTACCAATTCCATCCATGTCTTCCTACCTCATCACACCGACGTGTCTCTCCTTTCTTTCCCAACTGGCAGGCAACCTATTCCCTCACCATGATGATATATAGCCCCTCTTCCTGCTGGTTTACATGTCTAGGAAGGAGAGGGGCCTCTTGCTGTCCGGCGCACTTGTTACATGTTAGTAACAGGTTCATGCGAACTGGTGTGAACCAGCTGAATCCCACCACTGCTTAAAACGATTAAATGTTACAAATAAAATTATCTGAGCTGTGATAAATATAGACTCAATGACTCAACTTAACATTGTTTGTAATATTAACTTTTCAGTTGTTTCGTGATTTATTGTAATTGGCAGGCCCACAAGGCTGTAATTCGAGGAGTCTTTATTAAAATAACCTCCTACCTAAAAAACAAACCCAATCTAAATCACTTGCACTGCTGAGTACCCTAAAAGACCTTACTACTGCACAATACTTGAATCAAACGGAG